GCTGCTGCGAAAGAGTGGAATGATCTGCCTCACCATATCCGTTTTCGCTCGGTCACAGTGAGTGAGTGAGTTAAAATTTAACGTCACATCGGCAATATTTCAGCCATATCGTGACGAGAACAATTAATTTTATACATAGTAAGTAATGGTAAACTGTAAAAACTTGTCAACGAAGGACAGTCGCTCGGTCAGATACCATAGGAAGGACACGTGTGTCGTATAATTCGTTTGTAATGAGACCGAGTGTAATATTCTATATTTACCTGATGAAGTGACCATCGAGATTTACCTGACCTTATCTTATGATACACGTGTTGGATGCACTTGGACGAAGTCTTCGTGCCTTATGACGTCAACCCCAGGTGTATTAAGTGCTGGGTGCATGTTGGTATAGCAATGGCGCAGACAGCCTAATATTGTGTTCAGGGGTGTTAGGCATTCAATGACACAACGTTGCATAGGGTATGTCTGAGACATATAGTAACATGTATCCCCGGTTGTTTGTTTGGATATCTTTTTAAAAACAGAAGTCCATCAGTGGGTCCACAACACTTTATTCTTGATTTGATATGATAAGTACAAGGTAATATTGTAGTGGCTAGGTGGATTTTAGGAGGCGATTGTCAGCCAACCTGCCGAGCTGCTGTCCGAATTCCCGACTAACACAAAGCATTCTCTATTTATTCCTAAGGGTCGAATCCAGATCAGACTGTCACGTGTCACATTTGTGAGAGATGTCTGGTCAGCCTGCAGTATCCCGCACCTCATCCACAATGTCATGCTTCAGTGGCCAACCGGCCATTGTCTAACTTTGAATATAGGCAGCTGACCAGCAAATTACTCTGTTGATGACCATGATAATTATAATTATAATAATATTGCGTTGATATATCTTTTGACAGGGAGGTCATTATTTAGGAGATATATTCAATTTACATAACCAGGACAATATATTAATATCCCTGACACAACATGCGTTAAAGTGCCTGCAATACATGCCCTTTCTGTCAAGACGCCCACGTGTACATTGTGAATGAGGTCGCGAGTAAATTACAACGTGTATTATTTAATAATAAATTATATATACATAAAATGCAATAATCATTTCGGAAGCTAATGTGGCAAATTTCTATCATTTTTTGTCATGACATTATTAATTACACAGCCTTCAGTATTTCAACATGCCCTGCAATATACATTTGTGTGCGACACTTTGTGAGAAATGTTGAAAGTTACAAAGTTGAAATGGTGAATTCAACTGAGATTTGCTGACAGAAATATCGACAGTCAATATTTGCTTTTGGATAGATTGAGATATATTTCGTGGAACCCATTTTTCTAAATGAACATATTGACAGCACGAATAAAACAATAAGTCATGGTACGTCAGGTACAATAATAACAAGGGATGAACATCTTCCACTGAATGAACTATACCATGACAAGAGTGAAAGATACACAAAGTACTAAGTAGCATCAATTTAGCATGGATCGTCATTTTCTGTCACTCTTACAATAAGTTAATAGTCAACTGTCTTTCACTTTCTGATACAAAAACGTTCTTTCTCTTTCTTTCATTTCGTCTACTCTCTTATTCCATTACGGAAACGTTTTCTCTCTCTTCCTGTATCTCGTCTTCTTGCGTCACACAATTCAATTCACATTTATACGTCATTTCGAAGACCTGTTCGCTGTATCAGGTTCATTACAATCCCCATTAAAATCATAATTGGACATATGAATAACAATATATTCAAATTCTAGGGCATAGCATTAATATACTGATGGCGAAAAGACATTATAAGCTGATATCAGGTACACACATTCACACTTCACACAAATATCAGTGAAGCGACGATCAAATCAATGTACCTGGATTTCAGTACATATTGATAAGCGACGGGCAGGAAAACAGGTTACTAATAGAACGGTACATACACAAATAGGTGTATGCTACAACTGAGAGCATACAGAAAAGGGACATGAAATTGAACATGTTGACAAAGACAGCATTTGGTGCAGGAAAACAATTAACGGGGTTCAGGCGATAGAGGCGACACTCCTGGGACTCAGATGGAAAACGCTCCGTGTATTGGGGCATGTGTGCATAATACATTGGAGGCGGGATGAGAAAGGGTGGGGTATGACTTTGACAGCAAATATCGTAACTTTATGGACCAATGATGTATGTTTACTAATGATAAAATTATGAAATGTGAGAGTATGTTGTATTAACTGACTACTACTGATGGAGGTACTGTTTGATATATTTTGCATTTTCATGTTTTTGTTACTCAGTAGTTCTCAAATGGTACACATAAAAATCCCTGCAATAATATTATGTATAGGGTAGAAGATAAGCATTATGCAGTGTGTATGAAAATGTCTGCATATCTTTACTCCTTACTAAAGACATAATATATAATAGTACATGACTGAAATGGAAGGTAATAAAGGTTTTATCTATGAACTGTAGGGGATTAAACAATGCACTTAAGAGAAGAAAGGTTTTTCGGTTTCTAAGAAAGAAGAAAGCCCATATATTCTGTTTACAGGATGTCCATTTGATCAGAGATCAGGAACAATTGATGAAACAGCAATGGGGCTTTAAAGAATTTTATATTAGCACTTGTAAAAGCAATGCAAGAGGGACAGCTATCTTATTTAATAATAACTTTGAATTTTCAGTCTACACATAATACTAAAGGAGGAAACTTTGTGGGCTTAAATATAAAAATAAATGAATTTATTAATACACAGTTTAATGTATATGGCCCTAATCAGGACAAACCTGAATTCTACAAAAATGTGAAAGAAAAGGCAGTAGAATTAGCAAATAAGAGTGACAATGAAAAAATTATAGGCATTATACTGACAGCGGCGTCGGTAGTGTACTCAACAGACCAGTGAAAACAACACTACTGTTCCGTTATAACTTCCGCAGTCAATGCTCAATTTTGCCCTCTCCTGGCGGCCATTATGCCATTGCCATCTTACACAACGTGTAATGGTGTGTACCCCGTACCTATGGTACAGCAATTATCAACCCCCCAACCCCCTCATGTGTTTCCTCCTGCTGTAACCGATGCTCATTAATTACATGCTGCTCTTCCCAGCATCACGACCATACAGCTGACACAAAATAACCGAAGCCATCATAAAGTAATTAAGATCCAATAAAAACAAAACACCCGTAAACCTCATACATAACTCACTGGAAGTCGGACCGCATTTGTTTAACGTGAATATTTACACAAACCTTTCAATGACAAGAACACCATTTCAAAATATGTAGAAACAAAATATTATCTATACAAGATGGGTCTGATTGATCACATCGCTTTTATTTCCTGCAAGATCATATTAAAATACTTCATCAGATATTTCAAAATTGATCTCTCTGTTACGACTTCCAACTTTAGGTTAAGATGGGTCCATCTTTGGTCAAAAGTTTGTTTCCTCCGAAACACGTGTGTCACGGGTTGCACACGAGTGACCAATGCGACTCACACCCGTGTGCAACGCTGTCACGCTGGTCTCACACGCGTTGTCAACGGGTTCCACATGAGTGACCAACGCGACTCACACGGGTACCGTCACGCATTGCACACGCGTGTAAGGGGAATGAACTTTTAGGCAGTAGTGTATGTGTCACCTTATGCCTCAGCCCCGTTTCATCTGTGTTGTACCACGCGGGCTTCATGAAGCATGCTCTTGAAAACGCGACCCTGCATGGATCACGTGACCATAATTTCATGTGCCTAACCACCAATACTTGTGCAGAATGTGCTTGTGATCAGAAAAAAACAACAACAACACGTTGATAATATTTGAGACATAAAAAAAGTCACCTTAGATGCCGCGCTTTACAAACGTTGAACGTCAAACCAAGTAGCTTCAAGGGTTGGGTTCGTGTTAGTGTAGCAACGTCGCAGGCTGCCTAATGCTGTGTCCACGGGTGTTAGGCATTCAAAGAGTCAACGTTGCGTTGGGTACGTTTGAGACATAAAAGTAACATGTTTTGTGACATGTCTACACAACACACGGTGGGATGAATGAACAGACAAAACAAGAATGCAGTATAATGATGAAGCCAATGAGGTGACAAGGAAGGGGGTTTAAGTTATTAAGTACTTTGAAGGTGTTGTGATGACAGGGAGCTGTTGCGTCACGAGCAATACACAATCGACAAATCTACTACGGTAATGGATGTGGTTATGGAACATTGTAGCACACACTGTGTACATAGATACCTTGGTCACTGTCAATGTCAGATATTTCAACACAGGTATTATGTTCTTTAATCTTAAGAAGATCCCCTTCAGTTTGAAATGAAATGGGTGGGAACATTACCGTTGGCGTGTCACCAATGTTCTCAGCGTTTCTTCGAAAGTGAAAGCCACGTGTATGTTGGCTGTTCTGATGAGGAGCCTGGTAATCAGATTCGGCCTGGATTGCTGATGCGAAATGGGTAATAGGGATGGTTTGGGCTTATAAAGGAATCTTTGTCCTCGGTTGCCTTTGTTTTTCGTGTTGTTTTCTCCATCAGATCTTTGTTATCTCCAATGTAATATCTCCTGCGCGGATCCCCTTCAGTTTGACATGAAATGGGTGGGAACTTTACCGTTGGCGTGTCACCAATGTTTTTCAGTGTTCCTTCGAAAGTGAAAACCAAGTCTATGTTGGCTGTTTTGATGACCAGGCTGGTGATCAGATCGGGCCTGGGTATGGGTTGCTGATGAGGATGGGGGAAAGAAAGGAATCGTGTACTGGGTTGCCTTTAATGTTCGTGTTCTTTTTCTCCATCAGATCTTTGGGACGTCCAATAAGTGCGAAAAAAGCGTATTCAGGTTACCTGTGCAGAGACATTAGAGCCTTTTCTTCTGACGATGGCGGTTTCACAGTTAGTGAATGTACTGCTTCGTGAGAGTAGGTTTCAGTAGACGACAGAGTGAATGTTGTCCTCCTTGTGGGCCATCACCATCAAAAAATAAAATGTGGTACACTAGAATAAGCAAAGATGTTGGATAAATTTAAGCATTACAGTACAGCATCTTCCACGATTTCCAGTCGGTGTCGGAAATCAGCCTGAAAGATGACGTCGTCCTGTCGAATAATGCACATCTCTCTTGACTTCCTCTGTGGCTGAACATCCCACACTTAGCGTGGAGAAAGCATCTCCAGGCACAGGCTAGATAGTCTGTGTTAAACTTGTCCTCAATCAGACCGTTGGTCCACTTGCCACAGACACTGAGAAATCCTCCTCTGCAGGTCTCTCCTTAATCAGTAAGAAATGAAACATGTCTTAGCAAACCGTGTTTTGGGTTAGTATTCTATTTACTGTACAAGTTTTGAACCAGAAATTAAGGAGCTTTTATAAATCCTATTTTTAATTGTTAGAAGTACACAAGTAAAACTATTGAAAGGTTACCTAAACGGATTCGATGAGGCTCACTATTGAAACCCTTCAGGCCGAATCGTTTGACAGAGACACCTGTCGGGTCGGTGACATCGAAGACTTTGTTGATTCCAATCGTTTTGCCTTTTCCATATGAAATACTTCCATTGCCCCAAAATGCCCAGAACCATCTGTAATAAGAGAGAAAATGTTACCAAAACTGTAATTTAACAGGCATTGATTGTTGATTGTGTTCGCACTCTGGAATACAATTTGAAATAAGATGTTTTTGTACCGAATGTTTCGGAGAAATGCGAGTTGATCTCGCCGAATTCCATGACTTTTTTTTCTGAAATTCAATAGGATGACACATCGTGCATGCGATATTGATTATATTTGCCACTTTGCATATTATCACGAAGATGAAGAAGCAATGATTGTTGCTTTTAGGGACGATCGATGTAAAGTGTGGTCATGTCTTGGAACATCGTCGATTTTACACCTTTAAATGATTCAAAGCAGAGATACCAACTATTCCACCGCTAAATCAAGTTGCGTCAAATGTAAAAGGACGCACGAATATGTAAACAGATTTATCTTCACGTCACCAAGTAAATTTTGATTTGAACTGTAATTGTACCTCATCGTTTTACGTTTTTTGTGATCAAGGGAAGTGACATTATAATATAATTTCACATGCTAATTTCATTTTTGTAGGATAATGATTTTTTCTAAGGCATATAATCATATCGGAAAGCCATTCAGCATCCTTATACACCTGGCTGTAGGCAGGGTTCTACAAATGAGGGTGTTTAAGATATGATGTGTTTGTCAAGTTTGGAATTCCACATGATTTTCATTGATTTCAAGATCATACTAAAATATGGGTCGCTGCTTATAAAATCTTTTCTGGTTAATGAATTTTAAACATCGTTAGACGGCAGTGATATGTTGATTGTGTAAGAATGTTCTAATCCAAGTGAACATGTGATATTCAGTGATTAGCAGCTGTGTGATACATACTATTTAAAAAAAGAAACGACATGCTGTTTTGTACTTTATTTACTGAGTGCATATAACTGATCCAAACATGACGTCATTGCTCAATTACAGTTAAATCATCATTTTACAAATTTCCAAAACATAATTTTCAAGAAAGAATTTGGTAAAACCACAGAGGGCTATTAAAGCTACTTGGTCATAGTAAAATGTCAGTATCTGGTGTGACCACCATGAGCATCAGTAACAGGTTGGCAGCGGCGGCCCATAGACGAAAGGAGAATATTTTGATATTCGTGCTGAAGTGCTGCGTGCAGTTTTCATGGTGTGTTAGGTGGCGGATTACGCTCGCACGGGCGTCGATAAATGGTATCCGATAGATCTTTTTGAGAGGCATTTTAGAAGTTGTATAGATGAAGGAAAACAAAGTTCTATGGATAGTCAATACACAAGTTTAATATCCATAGAATTTGGTTTTCCTTTATCCCATAGATGTTCAAAGGAGGACAAATTACGTGATTGAGAAGGCAATAGTAATACTTGAACTTTGTTGCTGGAGGAAGTCTGGCAAACATGTGCAACGTGGGGTCGAGCAATGTTATTCTGGAAAGATCAACCATTGTCTTTGATGAAGGGAACGATGTAACGTTGCAAAATCTCGTCTCTATAGTGAACCCCAATCATTTCACCTGCCACCTGCACACGAGCTGTCCGGCCATTATTGTGGATACCTGCCAACACCATGACACTTCCACCACCAACACTATCGACCTGCCGTAGTCAGTTATCGGCGTAGTGTTCGTTCCGAGGTCAGCATACACGTGAACGTTCATCAGCACTCCTGAGAAGAAACCGAGACTCATCTGGGAACAAAATTGTCCTTCATCTTGCCCGCGGCCATCTCACTCGTTGTCTGCATCATTGTTGACGTTGAGCCTGGTAGCGTTGTATCCAGATGTTACGTCGAACTGGTCTTGTGACAAAACGTCCAGCTTCCAGGAGCTGATTGCGCACTGTCTGGCCGGAGATTCGGCGCAGTCCAGGGGTTTGGGTTGTTGTGGATGTTGCGGTCGTGGTGCGTGAACGAACATGTCTCAACCGGATAGTAACTCTTGACCTGGGTCTGTCACTAACACTCCCACTATTGTTGTATCTGGTCCTTAGATTTCAGATGGTATGACTGGACACGCCGAAGTGCCTTGCCAACTCATGCTGCGATGCCCTCCTCGTAAATGACCGATGGCGTTGTGTCGTTGAGCTTATGCCAGTCTTGGAATTCTTTTGTCGTCTATAGTTGCTTAAAGCATTGCCTGTGGAAAACTGTTGATGTGTCTTTTTGAAACCCACAGTGATAGGCTTTTGCTCGGGGTGATACACAATTTCATGATGCATGTGCATTTCAGTTTGATATATGTGCGGGCGGGTTTCAGCGATTTTGTTCAACATTGTTGTTTTTAAACGTTTTGTCATCGGTAACCATTCCTCCACATGTTGGGTTTCAGCATGGACTGGTTTGTGTATTATATATATTAATATAGTATTCAAATTGTTGTTTCTTTTTTTCTGTTCTTTTTTTTTGGAACAGTATATTTAGACTTTACTGGATTTGACAACTCAAGTTACAATAAGACCAACATTGTGTATGATGATTATAACACCCATTCATGGCCGTTATTTCAAGTGTCACTACTGTTACTGAGACGTCAATGTTGGCATCGGTGTCTTTCGTGCTGGGATCACTGCTTCTGTATTGCGTTACCTTTGAATTAGTACTGAAACTCTATTTTGTCATTTCATAGTGATCCCTGGATATAGATTTATGTCTGAGATTAGACTGTAATTGTTAATTTAATGATGTTTCTTGGTTTCAAACATCATTGCCTGTTTACGGACTGATTCCCTGTTAACTTATTAGTTTTGACCTGGTAATCAACATGTCACAATCTATGTATAAATATATTTTGACATAATGCATAACATGTTTAATACATTTGTGTAAATACCTACCTATACTCGTTACAGTGCAGGATGGAAGTAGTATGGGCGTTGTTCTTTACACTGGTTGGCTTGATAGTTAGTCTGGATTTATCATTGAACCAGCCACCAATCACAAACTCAACGAGTTCCGCACCGTTGGTGTCCAGGAGGCTGAGACCATGGTCCTTGCATGCCTTTACCTCGTACACAATACTTGTACATTCTTTAGCATCAACTCCCAAAGTGATTAAGTCTTTGATCACTCCATTGGCTCCATTTGTGTAAACTTCCATTGGAACACCTTCAAAACAACGAGTTGATTTTGACAATCAAAATATCACTATAACGTATTTTGTATTACAGTTTCGCCAACCTGAAACTGTATTCACTTGGCATGTAATAGTAAGTGAGTGAGTGAGTTCAAATTTAACGTCATCTTGGCAATATTTCAGCCATATAGTGACGAGAAACGATTCGCATACACACTAAATTTGAGTTGTTAAATAATCTGTCATCGGAGGACTGTAAAATAACTAGAGTATCACAGGTGGTGTCTAAAACTAGCATGTAAATCTAAGACTCTTTTATGTACGAATACAATACAATATAAAAGGCAGGCTATAAGGTCGCCAACAACTGGAGGTAGATCACCAAACTAGAGACCATTGGGACTTACAGTGCCTTTGCTACCTGGATGGACCCTAGCTGGATTTACACCATCCTTTCAGCTACTAGCATTTTTATACGATCTAGCCATAAAATAAAATGACATATACTGCAGTTAAAAAAGTAGTAAGTTTAAATATACTTTAAACGTTTTGGGACTTACGTACCCTCTCGGTGGGACCAGCCACTGGTGAATGTAAGTAACTTTAAACAAAATGTAACATAACAAAAATTCTACGTTTAAAAGTTTAAAATTTTCTTTGAAAGTACCCGCTTTTACGTACCTGCTCAGAAGGACAATAATTTAAAATACTTTCACCCTATTGAGGGTACAGCCACCAACAATAAATTGTTAATTTATAGTTACCATGTTTTAAATACCATTTATCCATTTACAAAACTTATTATTCAAAATAGCATGTAATAAAATGAGCGGAAATGTCAGTCAGTACTGTAATAGTCAGTACCGCTTTCCTCCTGCTATTCACCGTCCTTAGAGTCTGGGTTTAAAGTGGGTGGATTTTTAAAGGAGATGGATACAGTTCGTTTATGCAATATAACTAATAAGTTTGTTTCAGATTTGGACGAAAGAAGTAGGGTTGAAGTAGCGTAAAATGATTGCCCCATGAGAGGGCATGTCAGTCCCATTTCATCCTTTGTCCTACCTTCAGTTGTTTGCGATCTATAACCCATTTTTATATTGTGCTGTCACTTAAAAGTTTGCTATTTTATATGCTTCCTCATTAGTTTTAGGCAGCAAAGGTACTGTAAGTCCCCATGGTCCCTAATATGGTGATCAACCTTCTGTTGTTGGCGATCTATAGCCTATTTTTATATTGTATTGTCCAAATAGTGCTCTAAGTTTTAACTTTCCACGCTAGTTTTAATTCTCATTAAAAGTATTCAACCTCAATTACAATACACAGCCCCAAATATAAACAAACAATATCTAACTTATCAATCAGAAAGCCTTGTAAAAATACATCCCTATCTATACAAAATTTGCAGCAAAACGTCAGTAAACTTACCCCAGTAAATATTTGTTTCCGTTTAGGATGGGAAATTAACAAGAACGGTCAGGCGAAACACCAAATTTATGTCACTCACACTCCATCATGTCCTGTTGCATCATTCAAATAAATTGAACCACCAGAAATCTGATCTCTCCTAGCTTCCCCACAAGGCTGTCACTGCTGCTTGGCCATAATCCAGTCCCAAGTGATGAAAACAATGTTCCAAGCAATCCAAAGTTAGTGGCATGTACACAAAGCAGCACTGTCACTCATTAGTCGCATGCCGGGTCGGAAGCACGTACGTGAAATCATGATCGACACTCGCCGGTCATAAAAATCAACAGTCTTTGATGAGTTACAGGTCGTAGGTCGATCAGAAAGGATCTATTCTTCGATTCTGCAGGGTTCAGATTCGACAGTCAGTGAAGTATTTTCCAATGTCACTTCAAATTTCAACCTTTCTCAAAATGCAAACACTGGCTTGTCCGCCATTTCAAACTGTTGCTACTTCCAAGAAAATAAGTAGGTCAGACGATTCCATTATAGTGTGACCAGGGGGGTAGAGTAACACGGCACACGATACAATAGGCTGGTTTCCGTATTGTGAAGTTGGGATTATATAAACCAAGCTCTTAGGCATCACATTATTGCATCGAATGAACAGTATGGCTTCGGCTTCAAATGAAATTAACATTCACCTAATTTCCAAACACAGTACGTTTATCTCCTAATTGCGATATTCTAGTTGTTTTACTGTCCTTCGTCGACACGTTTTTATAATATACATATATTCCATTTCAACGTCAAATATGTTCTCGTCACGATATGGCTGAAATATTGCCGATGTGACGTTAAATATTAACTCTCACTCTCACTTACTATCTAGTTTTAAAAAAAAAATGTGATATACTAGTTGTTGTACTGTTCTTTGACGACAGGAATTTATAACCTTTAAATACAATTCATACTTTTTTTATTGCTGTATAAGGTTCTCTCGTCACGATATGACTTAAATATTGCCGATGTGACGATGAATTTTAACTCACTCACTCATTCATCCTTTGTCATCTTTCGTGGCTTAATCACAGAACAAGTGTTCTTTTATGTTTGGCTAACTGGACTACAACCGTCAACGGCTGAACGGATGGCGTAAATCCAGATATAGACTATGCAGGAAGTACTGTAAGTGCCAATGGTCCATTCAACCTTCAGTTGTTATACACGTTGTGTACGCACATAGTGGGCAAAATGATTCGGATTATAAAATAACAATGCTAGTTTGTCTGATACATTACTTGAAAGGGTACAGGAGGATAGACCCGTGAAGATCCAGTGCCTAGATTTTCGAAGCTCTCTTAGCGCTAAGATAGTTGTAAGTTAGTGTTAATGTATGGCACTTACGACTATCTTAGCGCTAAGAGAGCTTCGAAAATCTAGGCCCAGGTTCGGATTGGTCGTAATAGGTGATTGGGTAGTCAGGCTCGCTGGAATATTCACAGACCGCCGTCATATAGCTGGAGTGAGTGAGTTAATATTTATCGTCACATCGGCAATATTTAAGCCATATCGTGACGAGAACATTTTATAATTATATTAAAGATCAATAAAGTTAGAAATTTAAAAAAAATGTTGACGAAGAACAGTAAAACTGCTAGTGTATCACAGATATCCATTTAAAACTAGCAATTAAATTTAAAATATTGGAACTTAAAATGACAATACAATATAAAACCAGGCTATATATCGCCAACAACTGAAGGTAGATCACCGTACTAGTGACCATGGGGACTTACAGTACATGTGCTTCCTGCATGGACTCATATTGCTGGAATTCTGCTGAGAGCGACGTTAAAAAACAAAACATGCACTATCATGGCAACCAAATACCAGTAACAAGATTTGAAAAGTAAAATTAATCCGATTATCTGATCAAACACTTGTCAGGGTGTTGTCAACGCGCATGTCAACAGGGAATTATCTCAGTGGAGAAAGAAGGGAAACATCGGCACCACTGTCCCAGAACGTTTATCACACAAGATATAAACAATGAACAACAAACACAATTCGTCATAGGGCTATTTGCCAGGTAGTATGAGATGGTATGGTCCCTATGTATTGGTAGTTCATTACATAGAAAGAAATTCGGATTCAAACGGGCAGCACCATTTCATGCTACACATTTCAAATCGCCGTATAACTTATAGTGTTCGTTGTTCATTGTTTATATCTTGTGTGATAAACGTCCTGGGACGGTGATGCCGATGTTCTAACAAACTTGTTATTTTGTTTCAGAATTTTTAGTGTGTTTTGGTTGAGGGGGGAGGGGGGGACTGCATGTTTTATATATAATTGTAAAATTTTTGATTTCATTAACACCTCAAAATTATGGTACCTTCTAAAGTAGAGTTACTAATTTGAAATTAATATTAGTCTATTTCTTGTTTTGATATCGATAGGACGGGATGGTGTAGCCATGTGGTTAAACTATGAGCTCTTCACGCCAAAGGCCCGGGTTAAACTATGCCCATTGCTGGAATATTACCTCATTCACACATCTAATATCAGTACCAAATTTGTGATATATGTAAATGTCGGAGCTCTCCAGTTCGTTTATCCATCCATCACTAAACAACCTTGCTGTCTGATACATTTATCTCTCCGCGAACACTCACGGTCAATAAGGGAACGCTATTGTAATATGCCTCTGAACGATGTCTTTCACTGCCTCATGACTGTCTTTCATGTTTGTTGACAGTTTAAGTTCCTACTTAGTTATTCACAGCCAGGTGGATCCCTCGAGGGAAGATATCTCTCATCCCAAAGGTTTACCTTTTAGTGCTTTCGTCAGCGCCAAACCCGTTTGTACTTGAATACTGTAAAGTATACGGTGATTGGTTCAGCCCTCATTCGGGAATTTCCTTTTTCAAAATACAGAATACACAAGCAATCGTGACGTGATCAACACTTCCTTGAGGACTTGCATCTCGTGTGTCATGAATTTTAGAAACATCATTTCAAAGTTGTGTGCGCCATTTGATTCCAGTCCATTTGAAAGCATCTCCAATTCAGGCTTCTTTTTCATATAGAGTACGGAAGCGTAGTAGGGCCACGATGAATATTATTGTTGGTCTTACTATCTCCTACGTAGTACTTAATATCTCCTACGTAGGACTTAGTATCTCCTACGTAGGACTTAATATATCCTACATAGGACTTAGTATCTCCTACGTAGGACGTAGTATATCCTACGTAGGACGTAGTATATCCTACGTAGGACTGAATATCTCCTACGTAGGAGTTAAGATCTCCTACGTAGGACTTAGTATCTCCTACGTAGGAGTTAGTATCTCCTAAGTGGGTATCTCCTACGTAGGACTTAGTATCTCCCACGTAGGACATATTATCTCCTACGTAGGACTTACTATCTCCTACGTAGGAGTTAATATCTCCTACGTAGGAGTTAATATCTCCTACGTAGGAGTTAATATCTCCTACGTAGGAGTTAGTATCTCCTAAGTGGGTATCTCCTACGTAGGACATAGTATCTCCTACGTAATACTTGATATTTCCTGCAGGAGATGATCGATAAACGTTTATATGGATTAATCTGTAACGGTCGAGTTAAAGCCCCAGACACACACACAATCTCCTGTTTCACTGTTTCAGTCACTGTAAGAGTCTACAGTCATTCGTTTCATTCACTATTAGAGTCTACAGTTATGTGTTTCATTAACTGTTAGAGTCTACTGTTTTCTTCATTATTAGACTCATGTGTTCAACTAATTGTTGCACATTAGTACTGTGTTGGACCGACTGTTATACTTTACTGCCTAGCGTTCAGTTTGCTCTACTATTACGCGTTGCAGTTAGTTCACTGTTATATGTTGCACTTTGTTACACTTTACTATTATGCATTGGATATTTCAGGGGTCGTTGCACATGAATCATATTCTGCGTGTACAGACGTGTCTAAGACTATAGGTGGTAATCTATGTGTACGTATCCCCTTATATCTATACAAATAACTATAGTGACAATTCTTTGCCTTTTTGAATTTCGTATGGTTTTACACCGCACTCAACACTTGTCCACCCCAGTCAAGTCAACCTGTAAACAATTACGAATAAAACCGCAAACGAGCGTTGCATCCGATCCAACCTAGCCCCATCAAGACAAACAACAACTTGCGGAGGTCGTGTTATAACCCGAGTTTCATATCACAACCTCACCTCAACCGTCCCACCCACCTCTCTGTGTGTGTGTGTGTGTATGTGTGTTTGTGTGTGTGAATAGATGTATGTATGATAGATTAAACATTACCATACCCAAACCTCCATAACTGCAATTAAAACAGGGTCCATGTCACCCTAACGTAATACACACACAATAACACTGTACAGTAGCACTGCGTTAGTGTCATGAATATTCACTGACTCACATTTCGACTATCTAACGTCCTGCATAGCCAAACATTTCTCAACTTAATAACCATCCTTAAAAAGGATATATTAAGTCTTACGTAGGAGATATTAAGTCCTACGTAGGCGATATTAAGTCCTACGTAGGAGATAGTGACACACACACACACACACACACACCTCTCAAATATTTTCACCGTGGCCCTACTACGCTTCCGTATAAACAGTGTCTCCAAGATGTTTAGTTCTATTTGTGTGCAGACTGAAACTAGTCAAGTCTGGTGACAGTTGTAGTGCTACTTCAGTTTATCAAATTGTAAGGCTTTCGAGACGTTTTATGGTAGACATGTGGAGAAAATTTCCCGAATTATTTCAGGTGAACAGTTGACTAGACGTAGCATATATTGAAGACGGGTGACACCGGTGGGGCAGGACACCTGGTATCATCATTGTTTCATAGTGATTCATAAACACATGCTCGGTTATCACTGGATATCTACTCGAATGGACAGAATAGCCAGCAGATTAGATCTGACCAGATACATGACTGTACGACATGAGAAGACTAATAGACACTGACTACTATGCAAGAGACATCCCCTGAAATCTGAAATTGTCCATATTGCATGCAGAAGCGAGAGAATGTGCATGTGGTACAGTTGTTTATGACCGTGTTTTTATATCATGTTCCGATAACATGTCAGTGAATGAGTTTAGTTTTACGCCACACTCAGCAATATTCCATCTATATGGCGGCGGTCTGTAAATAATCAAGTCTGGACCAGACAATCCAGTGATTAACAACATGATCATCGATCTACGCAAGTGGGATACGGTGACATGTGTCAACCAAGTCAGCGAGCCTGACCACCCAACCCCGTTAGTCGCCACTTGCAATAAGCATGGGTTACTGAAGATGACGTCTAACTCGGATCTTCACGGGTGACCACATGCCTGGGATACACGCATCTAACATCAATATTAATCGTAGGCTTTATTATATTCTTAAGGGTGAAATACTGTAAATATTGGTGAAAAAATAAATGTAGAATAACATGTTATTTCACTGAGTATAATATCACTTTTGCCTGCAACTACTCTCTGATTAAAGATGTCTCGATCATTTATAAACAATGATCAAAATATAATAAATAGAATATTTTGTTAATGTGTTAGTGTTTACTGACGAAAAGAAATGCTCTGTTTAATTGGCATTTCAGAAAGTGATGAATGATAAGAAAAGTAGAATACTTTATGGATAATAACTTTATTTTATTATGATGCGACGTTCCAGTAGAGCTTCTTATACCGTTGCCAAACACTCTTGATTTACAACGCTATAAGAAGCTATACTGTCGCATCAGAATAAAATAAAGAAGTTGTTATCAATAAACAATACTGAGTCAAAAAAGAAACTTCACAAAATGTAATTTGAAAAATACTGAATAATTTTTCTCTGATGATACATCTATGTATCCGAAATGGGATCCCTATCTGTCGACTCTAGAAAAACGTTAGCAAAACCCACTCAAACCCATCCATTCGTCGTGCAAATGACGTTAGTGCCAAATCAGGTTTTGCACGTGCAGTCGATCACGTGATCTTGGCCTCAAGAATTGAAAAAAACACTTTTAAACCACAGTTCTAACGGTACTTGAAATGCCACGATTGTCAAATGTGCAACGTGAAGGTGCCGTTGGCATGTTGCAAGCGGGAAGATCAATTATTGACGTCGCAAGAGCAATGGGATGCAGCCGTCGTACTGTGTATGACTTGCGAGGTCGTCTACAACAAACTGGCACCACTTCTGATCGCCCAAGGTCGGGTCGTCCACGTGTGACGTCACGAGCAGAAGACCGTCAAATCGTCCTACGTCACCTACGTGACAGATTTCTGCCGGCTACACGAACCAGGGCTGAGATGTTTAGAGGTCGACTGTCCTCACAGACCATTCGAAATCGGTTGCGGGCTGCCAATCTCTATTCTCGACGTCCATATCGTGGGCCAATATTGACGCCGTTTCATCAACGTAAACGTCTGCTGAGGGCCCAACGTCACCTCCAATGGACCCAGAGAGACTGAAATCGAGTCGTCTTTAGCGATGAATCCAGGTTTACCTTCAGATTCGCGGACGGCAGGCATAGAGTCTGGAGACGACGTCGTGAACGGTATGCCCAATGTTGTGTACAGGAAGTGGACAGATTCGGGGGCGGAAGTTGCATCGTGTGGGGTGCTTTCTGTGGGAACAACAGTTCCCGACTGGTCATCCGTGGAAACCTCACAGCTGCTGCTTACCGCGACCAGGTGCTCACCCCTGAACTCGTTCCTTTTATGGCGGCTCATGGCCCAGGTCTACAGTTCCAGCATGATAATGCTCGGCCGCATACCGCGATGTTGACAAGAAATTTCCTTCAAAACGCTGGAATCAACGTCATGGACTGGCCATCGAGGTCCCCTGACCTTAATCCAATAGAGCACGTGTGGGAAGCACTTGGGAGAAGGCTTCGTGGTCTTAGGAACCAACCTCAGAATTTGCAGGAACTTGGCGCTGCCTTGCAAGAGCAATGGCACAGAATCCCCAACCACGTGTTCACAGGCATCAGGCAGTCGATGAGGAGACGGCGTTTGGCAGTGGTGAATGCGCGGGGCGGCCATACACGATATTGAACTGAGACATTTCGCATTTTTATTCTTGTGACTTGACATTCTGTATACCCATGTTTTGGAACGGCGGTATAGCCTAATGGAACTGATTATGGCACTGTCAGTGTATCGAGTACATCACACAGATCTCAGCAAAGAAATAATAACAATTTACCCGTCTTACCATCTCTTGTTCTTTTATAGTGCCCTGAAGAAAGATGTGAAGTTTCTTTTTTGACTCAGTATATTTTACTTTTCTTATGAAATGAAATGCGAAACAAAACACACACACAGCTATAGAATACCCTTTCAATCACAGTATGTGCACCTCATTGAAATCTATTCACCATACAGTCACATACGCTTTTGACAAATGAGCATTCCCCATCATCGGGGAAAACACACACAGTGATGAAAAGCAGTTTCGATCACAGTGTGTCATTTTAATCTATCCATATACTCACACAAGAGTTTGACAATCAGTGGACTATAGTGGATGATAAAATAATGATTGCAACTAACCTTGGACAACGGTGATAACGAGGAGGTACACATTGACAAACAATACGACTTCTAACATGATGATCAGTCAGAAAGAGCGTCCGTTGTCGCCTCCAAGATGGCTACATATATGTTAGTTGCAATCTTGAAACACAAATCAATACCACGTGTGTTGCACCAAGACAACACCTGATGTAGTAGCTGTTTACCGTTTCCCAAAAGTTAAAGGTATTAAGTTACACTAACTTAGTGTGCGAGATGACTTTGATTCAGATGAGTCCAATGTTTCTGCAGAGCATAGGTATTTTATGTTTTCCAGGTTACCAGTTACGCAGAACACCATTTTAGTATAAGGTATTTATCTGATATCTGAGTTGGGGGTTTTCTTTTTCAGAACCCCCCACCCCAAATGTGCCAGATGACTTTGATTCAGATGAGGCAAACGTTTTCCTAGAGCATAAATAGAGGAAATAACATGTATATTTCATCGAGTGGTCTGACAAAGCCAAGAGTGAGCATATCAACTTTTTCAGACCACACGATGAAATATACATGTTATTTGACAACATTAACCAAATATTCTATTTATTATATTTTGATCATTGTTTATAAATGATCGAGACATCGAGTAAGTCTGCATTTCATTACGCAACCCAACTACAGTCTAGCCCTTGAGCAGACAGTAGTTTCAGGCAAAAGTGTTATGCTACTCAGTGAAATAACATGTTATTCTACTCAGTGAAAATACCATTTATATTTTCACTAATATTTACAGAATTTCACCCTTAAGAATATAATAAACAATATATATTTTCCATTTTGCCAGTTGTTGAGAACGACAACACCCTCGATATAGCCAGTGTGTCTTATTTTCAGCTCAGCTGGAGCGAATATTCTTTAGGTTGTTTAGACCGATCAATCATGTAATTAGGTATTGATCTTGTATTTGAGTCTGTGTTTTTTCCTTTTCACTATTTAAAATACCCAAATGGTTTACATCACTGCTTTAGGATAAACGAGTGTTCTCTAAAAGTGCAGAACAGTTTGTTTACAAGTTTCCAAGGCATTAAATGCCGCAAGTCGATGTGAAGATAATATCTACCCATCGTTTAAACCAGGAGGGCAACATATGTTCCAGTATTTCCTTTATATCCTTTAGTTCCAGTGTGTGTTCAATCTGTTACAAGTGGCCTTGATATTTTGTCTACATCCAGATGTTAGGTCACTACAATCTTTATTACTATTTCACTTACATCTTTCCTTGCGTCTGACAAAGCCTCAGCAGACCGGGAGAGACTACCTAGAGCGCTGCTAATGTATGACAACACGCACACATCACCGTAAAGGAACAACACTGTAGGCTACATCTTTACTGTAAATTGCTATAATTTAAACGTTTCGTGATTCTCAGAGGGCGATAGAGAGACCAGCAATCTGAGATTGGTATTGTAGTGAGAAGAAATCAATAGTGGAGTCGGGGTTAGTTTTGGTGCTGGTGCGGGTGCTGATGCTTGGTAATCCAAGCGTCAGTAGTATGTGGAACAGGTAAAGTGAACGAATCATCTTCTTGAACATGTCTCCCGACTAGTGCAAGGGCGTCAGTGCTCAGCGAAAACACGGACAACGACAGTTATGAAGACAAAGTATTTCCACACATAACTGGGCGCCATAAAACACTTACGTTACGAGGGTTAGTAATTGTATTGGTCGCATTTACTTATACTGTTTTCCAATGTTTGCCCAAACAAAGCAACTAGGCTACGAGAAAAGTATTTTCGTAATAATAAATATTAAGTAATAAACGGGATTCTGGTGGTTGAGGGCACTGGGAGCCTGGAGCCGTGTTCCTTTTGCTCAACACAGCACTTCGACCCTTACTTCACCTAGACGGGTGGTAGAATGGGTCGGTTCTATCAATCGGCTGGTCATGCCAGGTCTTGTGCATGGATTTTATATAATTGCACAAAATATGATTTGGAATTGTTTACATTTTGGTCTTGGAAACATTTGTTCATAGAACAGCATTGGAATTTGTGACATGTTTACCTTGAACTTTGACTAGAATCTTTGCCCAGAGGGGTGTGGCTCATGGGCCAATCTGGTGGAAATTTTATCTTTAGGTTTTCTGCTGGAGTATGTCATCCGGGTATCCTTGGTGCTGCAAGGAGGAAATACATTTGCTATTAGCATTGTCTTGTATGATACTTCGTGGTGGGTGGGGAGCTCGGATGATGAACCTCATTACCAACAAAAATGGAATACCAACAACAAACATGGAATACCAACCCTTTCGAAAAACCTCCACTGGATAATGACGATGAGCGGCAACCTAAAAAATCTGTAGAACATTTGCCACGGTTTCATGTGAATGAGACAACTGAAATTTTCATTAATGCTCAAATTAGATGCTTAAAATACAGGCTAAAGATAGTACAAATGCATGATCTCCCGAAAATGTCCTACAATATGCTTCTACATTTAGACAGTAACGGCAAAGAAACCTGGGCGTCCCATATAAGGAACCTTCTTTGTTCTAAAGGTTTTGGTATCGTATGGTTAAACCAATTCGTAGGTAATGTCAATGTTTTCCTGAACCAGTTTAGAGATCGCTGTATATGTATTTTTCAACAAGAATGGCACTCGATGTTAGAAGAAAGCTCCCGTTTTGATTGTTAAAGACAGTTTAAGTCTCTTATAGAACCAGAAAGATATTTATCCCTCGTGACTACAAAGAATCTGAGGCTGCTACTTGTAAAATTTAGATTGGGGCTATTAGATTTAAAAGTAAATGAAGGAAGAAGACTATCCATTGATAGCAATTATAGATCATGTCCATTTTGTAAAAAAGGCATTGAAGACGAATTACATTTTCTTGTTGAATGTCCAGCCTATGATAAAATCCGTTCTGATTATCTCCGTAACTGTATTACAATCAGAAGTAATAATGCAGCATTTTACAAAATTGTTTCCTCATGCGATGTATCCGTTTTAAAAAGATTATCACTGTATATCCATCATGCTATTATGTTAAGAAAACAATTGTTATCCTCCTAAATGAGAACCTTCTTTGTAACCGCTGTATATGGGCCTGTGGCCTTACATACAAATAAACATATTTTGACCCTTTGACCTTTGACAAAACACCACTCAAATTGAACCCTTTTGCAATGTCTAAAATGGTTTTCAAGGCAAAGACGGCGAGGTATAAAACGTCAGACGATTGCGATCAGGTTCTTTGGTAATAGAATGCACAGGAAGCATCAATCCACCAACCTCATGTCAATAAAAACTTACCCAGCAATTCCGTGTTTAACAATGTTTTGCCAAAGTCTCACACGCCAAAGTCATTATCAAAGGCTTTTTGAAAGTCTACAAAATACACTATATAACTTTTTCTTCTTAGATTTAAGTATATCAAATAATCCATTAAAAACAAAAATAGTATATAAAGTAGAGTACCCCTTTCGGAAACCCGAACCGTAAACAAGCGAATATTATAACAATGATTTGAAAAGAAATCTATGTACTCATGGATTATGCCTAGTGACTATTATTCTAATGTTTTTTTATAATTAAATACATCTGAAATACAATCGCCACTTATATAAAGTTCTAACGTTTCAAAAATATATCACGATATTGGCTTAGCCAGACGCCAACGTTAAACCCCCCAAATCTACTCCCGACATGGATTATGCTTCCCGGCACCGTATCTTTAGCTTTGGTGGTACTCCCCTATTCCCTTGGAAATTAGCTCTCCCGGGAATCCGAAATATACATTTTTGCCTTTCCGGCAGGACACCGTGTGGACAACATAACCAATTATCTATTAACAAGTTCATGATATTTCGTGAATACGCCAACTGCATAGCACCGTGTATGAGCACAAACCCTTGTGGTAGGTGTTAATTAGAGGGTACCAACCAAAGAATGACAAGGATTCGCTTTTATTACATGTAATAAACCCTGTCCAGTCTGTCAGTTGGTCTGGTAAACGTTTATTAAATCCATGTAACGTAGGTCTATGTAATTTCTGTTTATACAAACAGTGACAGGGGAAAACATATTTGCGTTTCTGTGGATAACAAGTAAGTCATACACTTAAAACCGTATTTGGGATAATGCTAGCCATACTAGGGGCAAATACAACAGCCAATATCAATTTTTGACACTTAGAACAAGAAGGATGCAGATGAGTGAAGTTATACTAATATATAGAATTGGTTCAAAGTTGATCGCATAGGACGGCTAATAGAAAACACTTACTTTAAACATGATCCCAACTTTCAAAAATGCATCGCTTCACGCGTCAAATGCAGTTACATTAATATAAAGCACAAATGGATAATATAAAATATGGCTTATTCCTGCAGTTTTCATGAATACATATGTCACATGCAAGATGCATTATTTATATCAACAATAAGAACACTAACAGAACAAAAGATTCGTGAAATAGTAAGTTTATACACTCATGGGATCCTTGGGAAAAGGAGAAATTGAAAGAAAGTAGTAGTAAAATCCTTCCTAAATTTCCAAAGATTTCCAAGCCTTGGAAATATCTTAACAATTTGGAAAATATTATATTTACAATTTGGAAATATTTGGAAATCACCATTTTTTTTTCTTGTGTTACGGATTTCATCATGCCGACTGTTCCACGATTCCATAAGGTTCTGAGGGAATAATGATGCTGCCTTGCTTTGCTGGAATGCTCGAGAACTGTGTAAGTGCTATATAAAGGCTGGTTGTTGTGTTGTGCCACACGGATTTATCACATAACTGGAGTTATACACATCTGTCTGCCATCACCTCAAGATCGATCGTGCTTGCATGTATTCAACTACTGTCATTGTAAATAACCTTCAATCAGTATATCTGTTTTCACCGTGAATTTCAAGACTCTGGTGAGTTAATATTTTAGATTTGTGACCCAATATTTTAGGTTTGTGACTCAATTGCATTGTAGTAGATATCTGTATTGTCATTCATTGTAGCTTGCTCATTGTTTATTCAATATATTATTGAATATTTTAGACAAAAATGGTGTTTGAACTTGAGAAGTGTCTTGAATCCCCTAACCCCAAGACAGTAAGTGAATTGCGCAAAT